AAGTATGCTCTATTTTCTTAGGAATTGGTTTCCTAAAAGCTCGGGACTGAAATCTTGTTTTGATGCTTAATTATGCAAGTATTAAAATGTATCTGTTTTGTTTTTTTCATACTTGCAACTTTGGAGAGAAATATGATGTTCCTATGTATTAGCTTTAGTTGGTTTGATGAAATTGAGTTAGGTTAGGTTGAACCAGGTGTAATTGTTTGGTTAGGCATACGTTAGTTTCTATTTTTGTAAAATTTTGGAATTGAGTTGTTTATACGAACTAGCAAACAAATCTACACATGGTATGTGTAGCTAATGGGTGACAATACCTGAGACTGACGAATTAGCAGCATAGTGAAGTGTTCAGATGATTTCACTATTTCTTCAGAGGTGGTTCTTTTGGTAGACGAACCCACTGGATCTTGGGGAGTTACTATAATTGTTTCACCTTGTGATATTGAACTTGTTGTAAGGAGGTCTGTTTTGTCTGCTCCAGTACTTCGAACAGTCGGAACTGAAACAAATATATGCAAAAATTAACATCCACACCGTTTCCTGTTTTAAATGTGAATGGTAATAAAAAGAAAGACTTACAGCGTGGAATATTCGTTTAGTAAATCGACAAGATTACCACTTAAGTTATATTTCAATCATGATGGTAATTACAAAAATTCAAATAAAAGTTAACGTAGAAATATCTGGTAGTAGTACAATCAATAATAAGTGGAAGTCAAGTTAGGGTAGAATGACTTTTGATAAACATGACCAATATGATACAACATTGTGCTGGCGAGAATGATGTAAGTTTAACTACAGACTTAAAATTGTATTGTATTCGTGTGGAATTTATTTAATTAGTGATATGGGGATGGCAGGACGGTGTGCATAGGCGTCATTTGCCATACACATCTGTTTGCATAGACGCTTAACCAGGGATGGGGAGTGGGTGGGTAGTAGAAGGGGCACTTGTCATTCTACTTTGACTATTTTTAGCAAGAACTTTTCTCTCTTCGATCGCTCGCCAGTTATTCCTTACACTCTCCCTTCCCCCTTCACCACTTTTAACAAAGTTAGGCCTGTTGAATAAAGATGATCAGCAAAGGGTATTCGTGCTAGAGGTGGCATTAAAGGCCACTTTTAGTTGGAGTCAGCTTCACGTTATAAAAATTGAAATGGCAGTCATACTCCAACGTATGATCGAAATTGGTTCAATTAGTCCCTCATAGCTTGTGACGTCAAGACTCTAAAAAAACAGACAACTTTTGTTTAAATACATATTAATAAGCGTTATTCTAAACGTATACCCTGTCCTCTGGAATTGGGTATTCTTCTGAAGCTGAGGGAGGAAGACATGGTAGTTTGGTTGTCCAAAGCATTTGCCTGGGTAGCAAAATCAAAAGTTCGTGTCCCGTCCCGTCACAGTTTACACTTCAAGACTAATCAACTAGTGTTACAATGATCCAGCGTATTGTCGTAATTGGTGATCGAAGGCTACCGTGGTTTAAAACGTTTTGTTAATCGGTGTACTAGACCTGTATTCCAGTATGTTTTAACCAGTGAGCTCGGGTTACAATTATTTACTGTGTTGTGCTCTCCGGTGTCTTAACGCTAACGTGGCTGACCATATTGTTTTTATACTGATATTAGCACTAATATTACCTAGCACGTGCTCATCAGTGTCTTAGCAACTTATATAACTCCGAATGTCGTGCTAATCGGTATAGTAGCACTACTATAAATAATCCTATATGCTTAGCTTATCGGTTTATCAGCGCTAATATGGTTCAACATGTGTACTAATCGGTGGTCTAGAGCTACCATGGTTCAGCGCTAATATGGTTCAACATGTGTACTAATCGGTGGTCTGGAGCTACCATGGTTCAGCGCTAATATGTGGTAATCTAATTTCTATCTCTAAGTTCAAGGTTTTTTCCGTGTAACACAAAAAGTACAGTAATTCCACGTTCTGAGCCTTTTGTTTGTTTGTTGTTCAGCACAAAGCTACAAAAGGGGTTATCTGGACTGTCCCCACTACAGGTATCGAAATCCGGTTTTTAACGTTATAAGCCTTCAGACTCTCCACTGAGCCGCCACTGAGGGCCCGTTCTGAGTCAAGTAGAAGGCTTTAGGTCATTCTCTTGGTCTTCGTGCAATCACAGTATTACAACACTACGGACTGATGGGATCTGAAGTTGGAGTCACAATTGAGCTTAAATACTACCTTCCTCACAAATTAACGTATAAAGCATTTTAACGTATTTCGTTATACAACAAGCTTTAAGATAACAGTAATAACCTAATAACTTACATTTGTCAAATTTACCATCTATCAATCTGGAAACGTATAGAAACAATATGATATTTATGTTTTATGACATATTTTATTGTGGTATCGAAGTATAAACTAAATTATTAATAGACTAACAAGAACTATGAGCTTTCAGTACCTGGGTATCAGATATAAGGTAAACAGTAGAATATGGCGAATATTTCTATTGAACTTTGTATACGGTTGTAGGGAGACATCAACATCACTTCACGTGTTAGTCTTCTGTAAATATCATTCTACCGTTACAAAGAAACCCTACATCACTTCACGTGTTAGTCTCCTGTAAATATCATTCTACCGTTACAAAGAAACCCTACATCACTTCACGTGTTAGTCTTCTGTAAATATCATTCTACCGTTACAAAAAAACCCTACATCACTTCTTCACGTGTTAGTCTTCTGTATATATATATCATTCTACCGTTACAAATAAACCCTACATCACTTCTTCACGTGTTAGTCTTCTGTAAATATCATTCTACCGTTACAAAGAAACCCTACACCACTTCTTCACGTGTTTGTCTTCTGTAAATATCATTCTGCCGTTATAAAGAAACCCTACATCACTTCACGTGTTAGTCTTCTGTAAATATCATTCTACCGTTACAAAGAAACCCTACACCACTTCTTCACGTGTTTGTCTTCTGTAAATATCATTCTGCCGTTATAAAGAAACCCTACACCACTTCTTCACGTGTTACTTTTCTGTATATATCATTCTTCCGTTACAAAGAAACCCTACATCACTTCTTCACACGTGTTAGTCTTCTGTAAATATCATTCTACCGTTACAGAGAAATACTACATAACTTCTTCACACGTGTTTGTTTTCAGTAACTTTCTGATTTAACCATTACAAAGAAATCCACATAACTTCTTCACACGTGTTTGTTTTCAGTAAATTTCCCATTTTACCGTTACAAAGAAACCCACATAACTTCTTCACACGTGTTTGTTTTCAGTAACTTTCGATTTCACCATTACAAAGAAACCCACATAACTTCTTCACACGTGTTTGTTTTCAGTAAATTTCCCATTTTACCGTTACAAAGAAACCCACATAACTTCTTCACACGTGTTTGTTTTCTGTAACTTTTCGATTACACCATTATAAAGAAACTCCACATAACTTCTTCACACGTGTTTGTTTTCGATAAATTTCCCAATACACGATTGCAAACAAATTTTGTTGAAAAGTTTACTTAAACGTTTGAACTGACAGCAGTAATTTCTATTTAGCGGTTGATTTTTATAAGAGCCATCAGTGTGCATCAAGTAGAAAGAAGATCTAAATTTAAATATTCCAAACATTTTTGTAAGACATTAAAGGACGTTTCACACACTTGTAAAACAACTAACTGGTGTGGCTCTTACAATTATAAAATGGTTAAGGTATATTTCAATCTGCATTTTATAGATTATTTAAATTATTTTACATATACTTTTCTGACGAAACATTAGCCATTCTAATACTATTGTTACGTCTCCGTTCGTTAGTTGATTTTCCGTAACTTCGTTCCGACGAAACTTTAGCGACACAAGTCCTTACTTAATAAAACTGGTTTATTC